GTGATTCTTTTCTTTGGGGCAACTGAAACGGGCTTTAGCCACAGGAACGTTTGCAAAGCCTAAGGAAAACAAAACAAATAGAATGATAAGCTTAGGCATGAATTCACTTTATTTTTAACCCTATCAGCATGTTGAGTTTTCTTTTTTCCCTTATTTGATTTATTGTATTTTTAAACCGTGCTTTACCAATGTGTTGATTTTGTTGAACTGTACATTTCACCGACCGACTTTGGTTGCCTACCCGCATTCAACAGCAGCTCCAGTTCCTGACGATCCTGGTATGGCAGGCAACAGTTCTTCGAGGCTACCGACATTATGGACGTTTCCAAGAAATGTGCTCTTCTGCTAACGCCGTGCGGGTAACAGACTTCTGACATCGTCTGCGTTATTCAACTCAAGCAGCCCAGCCAAGTGAGCTACAAGGACACAGCTGAGGTTCTCAAGGCTCACTTTGTTCCACAGCCATCCGAAGTCTTTTGCAGGGCATTTTTCCACTGACGTGGCCAATGAAATGACAAAATGGTCGGTGATTACACAGCTCTCAAGAAGCTAGCAGTAGATTGCCATTTCGAAACAATTGCAAGCACTGCAACAAATCCGACAATGCTGCCTCTTGATGTAATACTGCATGATGTTTTATTTGCAGTCTTTAGAACGAGCAGATACAGCAACGGCTGTTCGCAGGAAAGGACGTGATGTTCAAGAAAGCCTTTAACCTTGCATTGCGAGCTGAAAACGCCGTCGAAGATCAGAAGAACATGAAAACGAAATTTAAAGAGATCCATGAAGCTGGCAGAAGCATCTGCATGACAAAGCCCGGTCGCTCAAGTACTTTTGCCCAAACGAAGAAACAACGTTGTTGGCATTGTCACACGCAACATAGTCCAGATACTTGCAAGTTTCAGACAGCTTCCTGCAAGTACTGCAAAAAACGTGGACACACTGAAAAAGCCTGCCTGAAAAAATGGAAGAAGGCAAAAACAAACAAAAACTATATCATCAAATACACTCTACAAGGAATTTCGACAACGAACCTCTGCACCAGTCCAGACTTAATAAGACTCCACAGATATAATCCTTTATGAGCTCAACACCTTAATTGACATGTCCAGCATGTAGAAGGTCATGACTCAGCTATGCATACATGGCAAGTCCTTGGAGTTCAAAGACAACTAGGGTGCAGCCTGCACACTCATCAGAGAGGCCCCGTTCAAAGCCATGTTGACCCACCATGGCTTGAGATTGACAACATTCTCCTGCGCACGTGGTCCCCCTTCGAGTTCTTGGATGTGCAATGGTGGCTGTAATGCTTAGGAAGAGGACCTTGACATTACTGTTTGTTGTCATCAAGAGAGCACATTGTAACCTCCTCGAACTAAATTGGTTTCCTCGTCTGGGTATCACAGGCATCCATGATGTATCAGGCGATGAACTTGTTTTAGAGCTTTTAAACAAGTATCAGTCTGTGTTCAACGAGGTAATCTCAGGACACGTTGGTCCTGCGGTACATTTCTAACTGATGGAAGGAGGAAAACCAAAGTTTCTAAAAGCACGACTAATTCTTTTCGTGCTGCAGTGAGCTAGCTGTTGAAGCTGAACTGGATTGATAGCAAAGTCCAGGCGCAATCGAGCCAGTGCAGGATTCAGACAGGGCAATGCCTCTCATACTGGTTTGAAAAAAAAATGGCTCATTATAAATATGTGGCCACTACTGTTGCACAGTAAAGAGGTATCGAAGAAGGTAGACGACTACCCACTTCTCACAGCTGATGAAGTACTCAACCACTTAAGAGAAGCAACGTCTTGAGCACCCTGGGTTTGGCACAAGCTTACCAGCAGCTTCACGTGACGCCACAGATATTGACACTGAAAAAGCTGGAAGGGTTTTACAAGGTAAAATGGTTACCTTTCGGAACCTCTGCAGTTCCGGTCATTTTTCAATGCTTCATGAAGACAACGCTGTCTGGCATCACAGGCATTTGTGCATACCTAGATGGCGTGATCATCAGTGGGAAATGTGCCATAGAACATGCCGAGAGACTGGAAGAAGTGCTGAAGACAGCCTACTAGCAAGGAGGAAGGCCTTAGGAACTCCTTCCCCTTTCAGAATTCAGATGGAGGGAGTGTTTTACTGAAGAAAAAGAATAAAATAGGTGTTTTTCAAGGCCTTCAACAAGTGCCCCCTCACCCCAAATTCCTGGCTATGGGCTTGGCTAAGGAGGCTACAGCAGTGCAACCTTGGCCTTAGCAAAAAAAAAAAAGCTGTTTTGCAGTACAAGTTTTCTTTTTTTCTGGGACACTGAACTGACAAAACAAGCATCCACACCAATGAAGAGAAAGTTACAGCTATCACAAGGACTCCATCATCAAACTGCAAGCAAGCGCTTCTATCATTTCTCGGAATACTGGCCTTCTACGACAGATTCTTGAAGAAGAGGGCAACAATTTCCAGCGGTCCCAACCAGCGTCTTCAGAAGGAAGCCATGTGGAGGTGGGAGAACAAGCATCAAGAAACATTGGACAAGCTTGAAAGATTGCTTTTCAATCAGACTGTGCTGACACATGACGACGAACAGGAGCTTCTGGTCAGATGTAATGCTTCTCCATATGGCATAGGAGTTGTTCTGTCTCAACGTGATGACTAGAATATAGAGGTGCCAATCGCTTTTGCATTCCGGGTGCTAGGGCCTATGGAATGCAATTAAGCTCAGTTGGGCAAAGAAGGCCTTGCTGTAGTGTTTGCAGCACATAATTTCCACAGTTATATTGCTAAAAGAAAGGCAACTTTTGTCACTGACCATCATGCTCAGCACATTGGGTCAAGTCCTCTTTATCACGGATGACCAGATTGCATCAAGTTATCAGCGTATTACTACAACATTGTCTACAGGCATAGCAAGAACCACCAAATGTGGGCATTGTTTGAAGGTTTGTCAAGATCTCCATTTACGGCTACAGAGCTAGCACATCTGACACAAGACAGCATCCTGCAGAGGCAGTGCAGAATGGCACAGGGTAAAAACTCCCTGGTGATGAGTTCGCACCTTACTTACATTGAGTGACCGCACTAGCATTTCATCGCAAGTGCTTCACATTTGAATCATGGGTGGTCATACCGAGCTCCGCACAATTGGACGCTCTGGCACATCTGCGCGCTGGTCATCGAGGCATAGTAGCAATGAAGAACTGACCAAGGAGCTACGTATGGTGGCCCGGAATCGACAAGGCAATCGAGAAAACGATGTGACAGTGCTATGAACGCCAGTCAATGCAGAAGAGCCCACCCAAAGCTCTTAATTTCACCTCTGACCGTCCCCAGACACTATGGCACACGGTACATGTTGACTTCGTGGGGCCCCTCCTTGGGTGCATCTACTTGGTTATTGTGGACGTGCACATACAGTGGGTGGAAGTCTGACACCTGACGCAAGAAACATCTGCAGTTGTCATAGATGCGCTCCGAAGTCTCTGTGGTACGTTTGGCTTTTCCTGAAAGGTTGTGTCGACAACGGAGAAGCCTTTATCTCAAACGAAGTAAAGCAGTTCTATGTGTCAAACAGCATAAAGGCTGCAATATCACCAGCGTACCACCCTGCAACAAATGGCCAGGCAGTATGCTACGTGGCAGTTGAACAAAGCACTCCTGAAAGATGCAGACAAGTCTATGCAGTGCCGACTTCAAGGTTTCTGTATCAGTAGCACACGAGGGTACACACTGCTATAGGAATGACACCTGCGAGAGTGGTCTTTGGACAAAAACTTCTCTGCCTTCTTGATCTTCCCAAGCAGGAGATAGAGTTACAAATCCCTGACAGCCAGAAGACATTGACGAAATCACAATGCTTCGCAAAATGGGAGAGTGTGCTTATATGGCAGCTTTTGAAAAAGCCAGATTGGATTAAAGGCGAAATGCTGCGCTGTATTGGACCACAATCCTGACTTGTAAAGAGTGATGACATAAAAGTTCAGTGTCACCCAAACCACATGAAGAAAACAAGCCAAATAAGACAAGTGACTCCGTCGCTGACAGATTGGAGCACAGCAGACGGTCTCTCAGACACAATGCCAGAAGAAATGTTATAAAGTTGTGCTGCTCAATGGCTTGACTCGCTGGATATTCAAAACAACACTCCCTTGCAACGGTCAACGTCAGTGACCCCCCACAAATGTGACCGCCAAAGGTTAGGCGGCCTCCAGACTGCTGCTGAAACTTTGTCTAAGAGAGGAAGAGTTGACATGAAGAGATGACAACGACAAAGTGTGTGCGCAAATGCACTGTGGCACAGGTGTGAGCCTTTCATCAAACGCTGGCTTTTAGCGACTCCAACGTCTAAGCTACACCTGCTAACTTGTTCTTGTTTCTTTGAGCTAAATAAACCATCAGAAGCCACAAGTGGGTGTACATACGTAACAGCAACAAAAAAGAAAGGACATCTGATGTATGAGGTTGTGACAGCAGTGGACACCATTCATGTAAACTGGTTCCACAAAATAGTGGCATACCGGTTGTGTTTGTGCTCTTACTCAAGCATATAGGAAGTCAGTAACATTAACATAAAACAATATAATTTGTTGTCTTCCACAGTAAACTCAAATTATTGGTTGAGTTAAGATACAATAATGTCCCAAAATGGCGCATTAACTTACGAAATAGCTGAAAGGCAAACTTCAAAAATAGCTGAAAGGCAAACTTCAAAAATAGCTGAAAGGCAAACTTACGAAATAGCTGAAAGTTTGCCTTTCAGCGCGGTATGCTGAAAGGCAAACTTTCGCGCGAGTAGCAAGAAAAATAGCGAACAATATTGTGTCCATTCTGTACATACCCTAGACCAAGCATACAGAAAGTCAGTAATTCTAATATACAACAATATATTTAGTTCAGTTTTCACGGTACACTCAACTTGGACTCCGGTTGTGCTACTTGCATAGTTCGATTTATGCATGAAAATCACTACAGTAAGTTGCAAAAACGACATTTGTATAATTGAGCACAACTCTACCTTATATTTCATTCCTGCTGGATTTCCCGCTGTGCACAATAGCAAATATATGGTCGGTTTCTGTTGTTTTGCTTCTCCTGGCTTGCGACACAATGTAAGAATTGTGAAGGCGGCTTTCCTTTTGGATCTCGCTCCAGAACGCTGATACTCCAGCTGTCGATAGCCAATTTGTGTCTCGCATTCCAACCTCATACTCAGCAAAATATGCGTGGGAAGAAGACTAAGATGAATATGTCACCGGTTCTTGTCGAATTCTTGAAGCGCGAGAACCATACAGAAACGAGAATTCGCACGCGCGCCAAAAACGTTTCGCGCTCTTTCGCCAGGCGCGAGGCAGGCCCAGGCTATGGTGGCTAGAAGAACCATACCCTGGCGCCAAGTTTAGATTATGCCAGTTTTGCATGATAAAAAAAACTTGAGTAATTTATTAATAAAAATGAATATACTTTCAAATTTTTATTTAACTTATATTAGGTATTTATTTTTTAAAGTTGTTTTACTTAATGCACACTATACTACAGCTTAGGTATGTAGATAAAGCCACAGACACCACAGAGGGCAGCACGGAGGAAGGAAAGGAACCTTTCTTTCCTCCGTGCCCTGACACATTTTTCGGCTCTTCGGTCAGCTGGCGATGTCCCTGCGCTCTGCCCAACGTTTTTAGATTAGGTCAGTTGGAAAACACCGCGCCGGAGGCGGCCACATGTCGTATCCCAGCCGAGGAGCGGCGCTGGTGTCGCGTTGAGATTGGCGGAGGGCGACCGGCTGCCCGCGTCGCGTTGAGTCGCGGTGTTTACTGTGCATTCGTCTCTCGTTGTGCAGCAGTGTGGTGTCTCACGCGTTCATCATGTGCCATTGTCTTGTGGGCCGAGACTAACACATCATTGCCATGCCGACCTGCAGCGCGCCCGGCTGTCGAAGTGGATACGGCTCGCAAGAGAAATCTGCCGTTCCGCGTCATTTCTTCAAACCGCCGAACGACCCTGAAGTGCTGAAGGCTTGGGCTGCTGCCATTTCTCGAAAAAATTTCAAAGTGACGACGAAGACCTACATTTGCGATGTACATTTTGAACCTCGGGACCTCGTCACATGTTATGAACACGTCATCTGCGGCAGCGCAGTTCAGATTCCGCGTGGAAGGTGGGCAATTAGGCCTGGGGCGGTTCCCCGGATTTTTCCTAATATCCCGGTTCACTTGTCTAAACCGAAGACGACGCCGAAAAGGAAACCTCCGAAAGCAAGACAGGCAGAAAGTCCAGAGATTCGCTCTACCGAAGGAGAGGACGGCCTATGCTGCGACGACGAAGAAGACGGCGTTCCTGACGAGTCGTGGGCATCTTCCGATCCAGATTTGTATTCCGAAGAAGGGAGAAGGCTCCAAGCATTCGAAGGACGCACAAAGTTTGAGTCGGGGTGTGGAGCTCAGAGCTGAGGACGTCGTTTTCTTCAAGATTGCTGAGAGCAGCGGCATTGTTGTTATTGACAGGGCCGTTGCTGTGAGAAAAGACTTCGGCGTGGCTGTGAGCTCAAGGGGAAAACTTGTTCCTCCGAGCGTGTACCGCGAACGCGGTTCGGAAATGAACCGCGTTCGCGGTTCATTTCCGAACCGAAGAGGTGGGCAGTGAATGGGCAGTGAGGTGGGCAGTGAATTTCCGAAGAGGTGGGCAGTGAATGAACTGCCCACCTCTTCACAGAGGTGGGCAGTTCATTCACTGTGAAGCTGATGTAGAGTGAAGGGGAACTGACGCCATTGGTAAACAAATGCTGCCATGGCGCTTTAAAGAGTGCTGCATGTAAATAAAGTTTGCAAGCAGAAGATGTAACTGTACTGGCTATGCATTATACTTGTACATGTTTGTTTGTGCCTCCTCCTTCACCACTACCAGCCTTTTTTTGCAGCGGTAAAGAACGTCTTATTTTAAAGCCAAGGTAACTCCCTTCGTGAGGAAACTCTCACGTAAATGCGGAGATAAAGTTATGCAAGCTTGTTATGAGTTAATTGGTGTATATAAAGCACGACCGGTTTTATAAGTAGCCGGTTGTGATGTAAAGCAAGGTATCATGTGAAACCCAATACCTAATCGCATGCGGCTTTGATGGACGGCGGCGGTGAATCTGATTCGACCAAAATAAAAAGGGTTGAAACCTCTGCACAAGCAAATGGCCAGAAAAGGAGCCCCGAAATAACACAAAAATGCATAATTGGTGGTTGTCATTATTATGGTAAATTGATATAATTAATTGAGAAACGAATAACAACATACAAAAGCGCAACAAAAGGTCTCCACGTGATCGCAACGCCAACTAAAAGCCACGAAATCTACTGCAATTTGGCTCCTCATAGCCAAATATTGGGTTGTAAAAAAAATTAAAATTAACATAAGAAGGAGAATATTGCTTAGATATGAGTCGAACGCTATCGGAATCGCTGCACAACTTTTTAGTAGTTGATAGTGTTTAAATATTTTTTAAGTTGCCTTAACGGCTTCGCGTTGATTCAGATATGACTTCCTTGCGCCGTTCAACGCGGAGCAGCAGCAGACGCACCTCGGAGAACCGATCCTTATGCGACCGCAGCGCCGCTGCTTCACGTGATACGGGCTGAGGCCGTTTCCGTGGCATGGCGGGTGCACGCTCTTTCCCAACTGACCAAATCTTAAAACCATCTTAAAATGTTGGCTCTGCCCAGCTCGACGCCGCTACGCGATATTGTTTCTTAGCAACCAGATTAGCGTGCCCACAAGCGCAAGGAGGAGTGCTCCTTTCTTTCTCTACTTCCGGCTTCACAAAATGTGACGTCATGGCCTCTCCAGTTTTTTTTTTTCCTTCCTCCATAACTCAGATCGCGGAGGAAGAAAAGGTGGCTCAGATAGATCAAATCTCGTCAGAATGGCCGTCCGCACACAAGCAGACGTTTTCCCAAACGCTAAATGTGAATAACGTTTATTTGTTTTTGATTTCAACATGAATTAAGCCAGAAAGTACAACTGTTGTGTTTGGTATCTTTTAGCTTTTTCTTCTCGACGCGAGGTGGCGCGCTGTCACGTAAAAGCTGTCTTAACGTGTTCTAATTCTCGGACAGCATGGGCTCGGTGCGGTTTTCTAAGCAGTCTGCGTAGACTGTCTACGTTCTGTCTAAAAATTGGAACACAGCCCAGGTAAATTTAGCCATAGCCTCCTAGATTTCCTTTGCCTGCCGGATTATCGCCAGTCACTTTGAAAGTGGCCGTCATCAGAACTATAGTGTTGGCGTCACCTAAGTAGGGGTGCTTTCAAATAAGTTTTTACGTTTTTTTAAAACTTATATGCAACAAAAATAACATAAAAAATTTTAAAAAGACGTAAACGTAAATATAATTAACCCTACGTAAATGACGCCATCATTCAACAAACAACTCCTTCAATGCAAGGCATAGCCTCGGAAATTTGTAGCAAACGCGAAAATCGCCAATTTCAAAGGGTGTCAAAGGCCAAGTGCAAAGACCCTTATTCCTACGTAGGCAGCGCCGTCGTAGATGACCGGCGTTTCGCGCTCATCCGGCAGGCAAAAAAAACCTAGGAGGCTATGATATGGCCAACGCCTCCTCTGGGAAGATGCCTGCCGCATGAGAAAAAAAAAGAGCTGCCACACTCTTTTCCTCCTTCATTTTGAAAATGTTCTCGGTCGCTAGCGTCACTTGTGGCGGACAGTGCAACAACGCAACACTTTGCATAGCCTTTGAAACAGTGGTGCACAGTTGCAGGTCTCGAACAATTTTCGACTGACGCGCCCCTAGGGGCCGCAGATAAAAAAATGCTCGGCTGGTACCGCTCATCGCCGTGCTAATAGTGTTGGTCGCGAGCGCCACCGCGCGGAGCTTCTTTAAAACTGAAGGCAGGCCAACTCCGCTGGGAGCGCGAGCCATTCCTCAGGCATCTTTCTAGAGGAGGCGTTGATATAGCATACCGCCTATCCTCACCAGGTCGCAGCAGCGGCGGCCCACCACAAAGCCCACAAGGTAGAGTGCCTCGATGCGCGCGCGGGCATCAAGGCACCCTACCACAAGGCGGCATGTGGCGGCACTTCAGCCCACGTGATCCAGCCGCAGGTGACAGATCGTTCAGCTGGTGCGCGCTCGAAGCGCGCTAGGTACGGGGGGAGCTTTCTCGTCGTATATTCAAACCTTTACTGCAAGCGCTGCGATGGCCGTTGCCGACGAAGACGAAGACTTTAGTGTGGCTTTGGAGCTTCATCTACAGATCAACGAAGAGAATGAGTACCGCGAGAGCTTACTAACATGGGATCGCCCGAGTACAAAGGCCCCAGTGGAGAGATCTGTGGTACGATCAACTTCTCTTGTCTTTAGCAGTCGTGCATGTTTATGTAGATGTACTTCAGCGGGTCTGTAAACTTGCAGTACGCTAGGTCACCACCGTGAGATAGGTTACGGTAGTAGCAGTTTGGTTCTTCAAGCATTTCAGAGCGCGCCAAATGTCAGTCGCTCTGAACTTGAGAATACGTTATTACGTGGTTACACGTTGATCATACGTAGTAGAAAAGGACATCTTGCGATGTTTCATTTGTTCCGAAGCGGTCACGTCACATGCAACAAAATTGGAACTGTGCGGCAGCCGGCAGAGCAGGCTGCGCGGGATACTTCCGGCACTTCGTCTTCATTGGCTGGCTACAGTCACGTTACCAAACTGCCGGTATAACTGCTTTAGTGGGTAGTGCCGGCACAGTAGACCACGGAAAAGTTTGCCGGTACTGTAGACCGCATGAGAACTTGCCGGTAGCTGGCAAAGGCACTTCTCTGAGAATATGTGTGTTAGCACCGATTAATTCACAAGATTTTATTCAATATTGACATGCATGAAAACCGCGCAGAAATGGGAATGTGGGATGTGCAAAGACGATTTAGACAACTCATGGTATTACTCGCCCTGTCTGCATTTGAACAAAAAGCAACCAAAAGCTAAAGTCTGGCAATGTTTCAATTGCGAATGAGGTATTGTTCAATTAAGCAAAAAAAACTTGTTCTATAGTTTTTGTACCTTATTTATCTTTATTGTGTAAGTGGTGAATAAATTGTATCATGTCCCGGATCGAATGAGCTGCCGTGAAAAACTGCATTAGTGGAAATGTGATCATGCAGTGTTCAGTGGAAAAGCGATTAACCAATCAAAAGTGAGAAATTAGAAAATCGAATGGGCTAGATAACAGATAAGTGTAGTTGATACTCAGCAATAGGATGGAAAGGTGGGCTAATTGGTAATTCATGATTGTTCAGCGCTTGTGCTGTGTGCCTCCTCTTTGCTTCGTGTCTGTGTTCCTCCCGCGCTCCTAGTTCGCTGAACAATCTTGATACTCAGGTTGGTATTAAGCAAAAGAAATGGATGGAGCCAGCCACATAATCCATAGGATAGGTATTAATGGCTCCCTAGAAAAGAAGCCGTGGATTGCAGCGAGTAAGATGGAGCAGTGAAGTTAAGAAGTTCGCATATGAATAAAATGAGACCAGCTCACACTAGGCGGGCTAATTTAGATTATTTGTTGAAGCCTTCATTCTGCAGTGGACATAAACATTGGCAGGTAATGACTCTATATATTTAATATATGCATATATATATATGTTAGACATACATCTGGTCTTTATAATGTCAGCCTTGTGTTTGTCTGAGGAAGCAGCTATAAGCATTAATCCAGCTGTGATAAATGGAGTGCTTTGGAGTAATGTACACTGTTTTTATATTTTGTGTGTGAGTGTTAATAAAGCATAACTTATTTTCTGTTTAGTTTTTCTAAACAGAAAATCTTCTTTAGAGACATTGATACGTACAGAACATTAAATTCAAAGGAATTGTAGGACAGAACACAAGTTGAGCATGTCCTGAATCTAACACTTCAAATAGTGCTATGTATTCAATATTGTGTGTGATTCCAAATACACATCTAGTCAGACTTAGCCATGAAAAGCTATCCTTCTTTGTTACAAGTTTGCACCACATACTATTATCATGAAAATGAAAAAGTTAAATTTCTTTTGGTTGCTTTCTGTGTTTTTGTAAGAGAAATCTTTCTGTGGGGTGCTTAGTAAACAGCATTACAAAACTACACAGCGATGTACTGTGCACCTAGGATGTCAATATATCATGAAATCTTGTGTAATAATCGGTGTTAACAGCTGCCGGCAAGTTTCCACAAAGTCTACTGTGCCGGCTGCCTGCACTGCCACACTAAAGCATAGACACCGGCAGTTTGGCCATGTGACTGCAGCCAGCCAATGGAGATGAAGTGCCGGCAGTATCCTACACAGCCCGCTCTGCCGGCTGCTGGCACCATAGACAGTTCCAACAAAATTAGGCTTACCATGCAGAAGCGGCATTGTTTGCATGTCATTGAAGGCGTCTAGTGATGTTTCATCTGAGTGTTTGCAAAGACAAAATAAAAAAAATTGACAAACAGAAAAATAATGTGTTTAGCACGTAAAACGGATAAGGACTGGGGTTGTATAAATGTTAGTGGTAAAGCGTAGAACACCAAGTGTAGCATAATGTGTCGAGGATTTGTCGGATCTAAGTTTCTTATAGAAATGCAGAAAGTTGATAAGATTTAAACGCAGGTACTATAGTATGTGACTGTAGAAACTGGAGTGTTGAAGTGGGTTGTATGGTGCAAGCTCTAAAGTCTGAAAAGGCGGGACTTGGTGTATACGACAGACGGTCGCCCACACCACGGGACGTCAGGCTCAATTTATTGAACGTTGTAAAGACTTTTTTTATATTTTTTTAGGAACTTCAATTCCGTTTACGAACGCGTACCGGGTTTGAGTAAATTTAGATTGCTGAAAAATTCTACAATGATATGGTAGCATGAAGGGACATGTTAGGCTTTGACAGTGTAAGATCGTCCCTGTATTCCTTCTCTTTTTTTTCTGCTTCCCCTCACTACTGTTGCCCTGCGGTGACACGAGCAAGTTTGAATGCATTGTTTTCACCTGTCATCACTGTTTAAAGCGGTGCACAAGCATGTATCCATTTCATATTTTGCAAGCTTTCATTCTTTTAATTAAAAAATTACTCTAGATGGCCTACAATATTATAGTTGACATAATATTTTGAATTTGGCACTAAAGAGGAGAAACACAGGAGAGAAGACAGGACAGCTGCTACCAACAACTGGTTTATGACAATGGTTGAAATGAAATATATAGCCCAGTGGGGGGATGTGCAGGTGAACAGAGTGCATATCCAGGCAACATGCTAAGAACATGTATAAAAAAAACTTAATCTTTCTCTTATCTAGGTAACTTGCATTGTTAACACAGTCACTTTATATATATATATATATATATATATATATATATATATATATATATATATATGTGTGTATGTATGTATGTATGTATGTATGTGCTACTGCCGTCAGCAGTTTTAGCTCTAACGCTCCGATGCGTGGCGTCAGCTCGCTCGAACTGAGGTCAGCGCCACCAAGCATTGAACATGATAAGCTTGCTACAGCTAACAATAGGTGTAGCAAGCGTCAGTTTCACTAGTAAATTTCTGTTTCCAGTCTGCCTGATCGGTGGATCGAACAAACTCACTTCGCATCCTTTTTTCGGCACGTTTCGCTCGTGGTGTTCGTTGTTGTATACTTATCTCGACAATAAACTATTGCGTGCAACAGCTTATGCACCTTACAAATTTGAATTCGGAGCAAGGAATCACATGTATAAAAAGCAGAGCAAACGCATGTTCGTGGCGTTTGTAAAAGTTGCACAATAAATAAATCTCAAATGCAGTGGTGTTGTTCATTTTCTGATTCAATAGTTTTCAGACAGCATCAGTTGAACTGTTCTCGCAATTTAGAGTGTGCCTTTCTGTTCGGTTCATGCTGCATGGAAGATGTCGTATGGAGCGCAATGTTTGTGCGTGTTCTTCACAAGAAAGACGCATAGATGCAGCGCAAACATTGCGCTCATCTATGCGTCATCTAAAAATAACCAGCCGTGAGCAGATTCCTGCTCACGGCTGGTTATTTTTTTATCCACTTTTCTTTCTTCTTATTTACATTCAATTGGTTGTAATAACTTTCCCTGTACATTCCTTCGCATTACTGTCTGTTAGATCTCATTAATATTGTGTTAAAACACGGAAAAACAAGCCTTTAGGTATACACTTCTTTCCCTTATATATATATATATATATACACACAAAAAAAAAAAGCTAGAGTGAAGAACCTTGTGCCACAAGAGAAGGTGCCCATTGGGGCATTGTTTTCCTTCTATACAACTGTGCTCACACATGAGAGATTGGTCAAGAACTGCGAGGTTTTGCTACAACAAGTTTGTTTACAACTTCGATCGCAGGTAATTTACTTATTTATTTATTTATTTATTCAATACTGCAGACTTGAGGTCTTGCTGTACTCTGTATCCTCCAGTCTTCATCCTCTTTTTACACTGTTTCACTCTCTAGGTTTAATAAATGTTATACTAGGGCAGATAGCTTCCTGTCAAGAATTTTTTGCTTACTGTATTTTTTTTGTGCAGTTTAGGAATAAATGTTGACTTTAGCGGTTGAATTTAGCAGTTTTTGAGGGCTCCTGTCATGAGATGGTTATTTTTGATTTGGTAAAACTGCCCCGCCGAAGTGGTCTAGTGGCTAAGGTACTCGGCTGCTGACCCGCAGGTAGCAGGATTAAATCACAGCTGCGACAACTGCATTTTCGATGGAGGCGAAAATGCTGTAGGCCCGTGTATTTACTCAAGTGGTCGAAATTTCCAGAGCCCTCCTCTGCGACGTCTCATAATTATATGGTGGTTAAACAAGCTAATCAATCGACTTGTCCATGCTGCCGACTATGTGAGCTATTGATGTTAAAGAGCATTCATACCGTGGTTAAACAAGCTAATTCTAGGCTAACAGACTCATAAGTTGACTCGCTCAAATTCTGATAGAATCATGAGAGCGGGTGAGTAATATTTTTTAGCGAGTTTTAGTCCAATTCAAGAAAATATTTGTGCGTGCGAGTCCGAGTGAGTTTGTCTCAGTATATTTTTTTAATGAGTCCGAGTGAGCCTGAAGGGCAAAATATATTTAGTGAGTGAGTGAGCTGCACATTTTTTTCCGACCTATAATTCCGGTTTCTACATAGAATCTTGGCTTCATAAAGTATCGGCTCGCATGTGCATTTTCGACAATGGAACGAAACATACACAGTCAACTTTCTTTATATATTTTGTGTGCTAGCTGAACTGGTCATCAAGACAGCATCCTGTTTCCCTGGGTATGACCCTCCACAAGGCCGCATGTAGACCACCACTCCTTGTACACTTTGCACAAAAAGTGAAACAAATCAGCCTGCAAATTCTGAAATGTGTACTATATAAACAATACAGGAACTGATTCTGTTATCAATACGTCCTTCTACCTAAGAGTGAGATTAGGTTTTTTTATGTAACATGTCCTTAGCTTGATAAGTGGTGTTGTATTTATATGTACTTGGTTTGTCTATGCATCGCTGTGCAATATATTTGGGTGTAACCATTGCTATAAACCAGTTGTTAGTAGCGCCTGCCCTTTTTTTCTCTAGTTTGTTCGTCTTAGCACAAAAATCAAGCTGTTATGTACTCACCGACTCCCCCAGCAAGTTCGTATAATTGGCATATGAGTGATTCAATCAATAATTTAACATTTGAGCCATAAAAATAATTAAGTGGTAAAAAAATGCTGGCTGTAGATACACGGGAATGCCGCTAATATGCAGCTGTCAGTGATCTCACTGCTGCGCCAAAGTATGCCAAAATAGATTTACTGTGCCATCCTGATAAAATCAACTAAAATTGCACCAGTCTCAGGTTTGCGGCCACATCTAACTGGCAATAGCACCTCAAAGTGTGGTCCTTGGGTCTCAGAAATCACAACTGGGATCCAAAAATTCTGCTTAATAAATAGTGTTCGTGCATGTTCTCACGCCATGCTCGGTGTTGACGCACCTTCTGCTGTTCAAGTCAGTTCCGTGAAAACGTGTATCCTCCGCCAAAGTTTGTGACGCCTAGGCCATTTGGTAGCGAGAAAGTACTTTGGTGATTCATCAGCAGACATTGTGTGTTCCAGAAACACTGCTGATCGCTAATTTCAGATGTTGCAAGGCACGTAATTTGAGCAATGTTTAGTGATAACTGCACACGGGCTGCTAAAATGTTGTCACGTCTGTTTCTGGACATCTCTGAATGACGTTTGGGAACAGTATTGAATTTTCCAAGTTTCATGTCCATGGAAGAGCACATGAAAAGTGGGAACGCATTTTCTCGAATACACCTTATCTATAGATCTTCATCCGTAAGAGCTTTTTCGTAATCTTTTTGCTCCAGCACACCAGAGTTTGTGATCATTCTTATTTTAGGTACCAATTAAAGGCCCCACCTTTCCGAGCTCTTGAGTATAGGGCCCCATTTGATTTCAAATATTTTGCTTTTTTTGTCATCTCATTATTAAAAGAATACCTCTTGGTCAGAGTAGCCACAATTCTGTTTCACTATGCGCCGCGGGGCCCATCGCTGTTATGCCTAGCAGCAGAAGTCTCACTGCGAAGCAACTACTTTATGGTACACAACCGCCTCTTGCTTTTCAGGGTCACTAGCTGGCGGTTGAAAAAATACAGTTTCGCTTAAAGGCAGCAGTGAATGGGATAGTAATGAATTGTATTGTCATATGAAGCAAGGCTAGCAACTAACTTCTTCATGTCAGATCTTGCGTAATTAAAGCTCCATTAGATTTGGAATTAATGAAAATATTTTGTGCTCTATTCATAAAAGTCCTCATCAGTTATTTAGGTGCCTGAATGTAAATGCAACTAGCTTCTCCATTGTATACCAGGATGTGAGAATAGCTACTCCAAAGTGAAAATTTTGCTGCTCCAGAAGTTGCTCCAAATCAGAAGTCCTCGGTAGCATCAGTGAGCTATGTTTTTTTAGAGCTCTATTATTTAAAAAAAATCTTGATCAGTGTTAGCTGGGGCACCTTGTGTCTGTGTCATCAATTTTAGCCATCGTTTAACTTTAATGATGTATCATTTTTTATTTTAATTATTTTAGTTTAGTATTCTGGCATTGTATCCAAGTGCTGGGCAATCTTTTAAAAAAATGCACCAGTATCCAATGCCTGGCCCCTCGCACAAAGCACCTGTGCTTTGGCAGGCTGATTATTCAAATGCATATGTAATTAAAAAATAAATAAGTATTTTATAATTTTGTAGGGGCATATTTGGCATGGTAATTGTATTTCAATTTATTTGCCTTAAAGCGAATTCCTTTTTGAAGCGGAGAAAGCACATTCGTGCATTATCTCTACATGAGTAGGTGATTGCAACTGTTCGGTGGCCATATGACTTGGAAGTGTCATGTACACAGATTTACTCACATATTCTGTGTGTGCAGGTGCCTTATTCATCACGGAGAGATCTTTCAGTTGTGGATGACTTTTGGGAGCTAAATGACCCAAATCCAGATCTGCGTAGCCTCTTCGTTGAGTTCAATGAGGCTTTCTTCTTTGGAAAACTGAGTCATGTTGAAGTACGCTGGAGTCCACGCATGACCCTGTGAGCATAAACTTTTATGTATTTTTAGAATCTCCACATGTTTGCATTTTATGTGCATTGTTGTGTGCCATTATTGTAAGTTACACTCTTAAGAAGCAGGGGTGGGCAAGTGCCCTCGATTGTGCTTTTCTCCTGTGCCGTCGTCCTTGCTTGTAAAATATGTGCCTGTACTCCATTGTTCTTTCCTCATGAGAAAACTTACCTGCCCTCGCTCACATTGATAAGGCTAATATCCATATTTTACCTTCAGCTTGCTACAAGTTCCAATAAAGAATTCATTCCTCCTGTGATCTTAGTTTGCGCATATGGTTGCTTATAGAGGGATTGTATTGGCATTTTGAGTAAACCATCTTCATTGCTTGCCAAGCAACCACCACATGTGCCAGGTTTTTTTTTTTTTTCATTTTGTTACAAATAAAAATTGTTGCATTTCACTTGTTTTGTATAGCACCACCGCTAATCTCACTTGTATATAAGCTTCAGTGCTAAGGAATAGAGGTATCATTTTTTTGTTTTATTGGATTGTATCAAAGCAGCTCAAATGGCTCGTGTACAGAAGTAGGCACGTGCACGAATAAAGCTAAAGGGCATCTTTTAATGTCCGATGCCTCATGAAGCACAGATTCTAATGTCATTAGGGTAATCTGCATATTTCACTCTTTAGTTACAGCGTGCTAAATCTATGAAGTCCTGTGATACCTTCGAACTTGCATTTTTTTCTTGAGATGCTCAAAAGAGAAAACTTTGCATGCTACACCGATAATAGAATATTTGCTCTGAGGTGTTGGAGTGGCGCCGCCTGGCGGGAGGTCTGGGTGATGTCATGGCAAGGTTACTGCAATGCCCGCCGTGGTGCGCATACATACTATGTGCCCGCTTATTCGTACGTTCCTTCGCTGTTTGCGACCGCTTTTCACTTATCTTAAGCTTTAGATGAATGACGAAAACAGTATAATGCTCCCAGTAAAATTACAAAAAGCTTTCGTCCAGTATGACTGCCAGTGGTTCCCGTGCTCCGTTTTACACACTTTGATCAGGTTTGCTGTTGTGTCGCGTGGCTAAACTTGACGATGGGTTCGATTCTCAACCACGGTAGCTGCATTCTGATTGGAGAGAAGAGCAAGAACATGTTTGGGCTCAGATGCAGCAGTACATTAAACAATGCCAGGTGGTCACAATTATGCTACAGTGCGCCCCGTAATCAAGCAGCAGCTTTCACACATAAGATGCCATGTTTACATTAATAGGTTACATTGTTCACAGGTGGTTCTTTTTTCTCTATGATGTTTTCACCTCCACAAGCTCGGCTTCGGTCCCTACGTGGGATTAACCTAGTGGTGCAGGGTCTCCCCTGCGTCATCTCAGGACCAAAATAAAGTTTCAATCAATCAATCCACAAGTTCTTTCCAGGATGCATGCACATATCTTTAGACTTTTTTTTTTGCCTGTGTGCTTTCTCCGCACAGTGCTGCAAAAACCAATGCACTCCCAAGACTTCATAAGTATTTCAAAAGCCCGAGAATGCCACTGCAGCTCTTGTGTGTTTGTCTTGTGTAGTCGTCCATGCATCTTGTAGTTTTGTTTCACGCTTTCTACGTAGTATTCTTGGGGCTTCATCTCACTAAAAGATATTGAGGTTAATTGAACTTCATGTAGCATCGTAGCAATGGCACTGTTACACTCGTAAAAAGTAGTTTAGATAGCTAATAAATTATTTTTTCTTGGATTTGATTACTCCTGAGCGTCATCAACCTGCATGTGGATGTGACGTGCGACACCAGACATTGACTCGTCGATGCGAAGGACGTTCTCATTATTTTGTGGGCCACGTCGCGGAGAGCGTCATCAAAGTACTGCAGAATGCTCATTTCGGCTTTACAGGCGTTTATTTTGCAAGTGCTTGCTATAAATAATGTGCCCATGTAAATTAAACATTGCCTTTCGTGACGCGGTGGTTGATCGGACTAGCAGTTCATGCAAATTGGGGTATGCAGCAACATTATCCCCTGAAGTACGCATTGCGTTTTCACGAGCTGACACGAACGCCCTGCTTCGCTGCGTGATGCGCAGCTACACACTTCAGCACTGGATCAAACCGGAACGGCGACACCAGCGACTTCACAAATGGGACCCGGAAATGAGGTTCCGCATGCCTCCTAAATTGAAACGGCAACTCACAAGTATGATCCACCGCATTCGTCTTGGTGTAGCGTACACCAGACGTTACGCACATATCATCGGTCGCAATGACACCGGTCCTAATTGTGAACACTGTGATGTGCCAGAAACACTTGAGCACATATTTTGTGTCTGCGCAGCATACGATCGTGAACGACAAACACTGATTTCTTCTACTGAACTATATCGCAGTAGGTCATTAACTGATGAGACCATGTTGGGCCCTTGGCCAGACACCAACAGTGCAACTGCGGTCACAAGAGCAGTTATAACCTTTTTGGAAACAACTGGACTATGTGCGCGGCTATAAAATGTGTCTCAACTAGAAAGAAAATTACATACTCACCTCTCTATCTCACCATCGCCATCCATTAATCTTTCTTTTCCCCTTTCCCTTCCCCCAGTGTAGAGTAGCAGGCTAGAGCAAGCTATCGCTCAGGCCGACCTCTCTGCCTTTCTGTAAATAAACTTACCTCCTCCTCTTTATCCCAAGTGACTGTTTTGAAGTAATCTTCACATAACGAAGTATACTAACATCTAAGTCTTTCCGTAAACATCTTGTGTGATGCAGTATTATTTTGTTTATTAAGCAGGAAGTGCAAAAATCACCTGGATAATCTGCAGATAAATGGCAATGTACTTTGTGAGTTTAAAGCATCCTAATTTAATTTGTAATTTTTGGCACAGATGTTTTAACCACAGAATGTAATGAAGTCAGAATGATTAGCGTAAATCTTTTTTATCACCAATAAACCTCTCCCTGTTTGTAAACAGTGTGACGTCACTGCGGGCACCCCGCCCACCATACACTCTCGGATCAGGTGCTGGTTGGCAAGAAAGTTCCGCCAGCGGCATCTTTCTGCATAGCAGAGCTGCGTGTTTGCATTCCTTCAACAGAAGTTTCTGCATTGCTATGTCCTAAAGTCACAGCTTTTGAAGGAAGGAGGTCGTGAAAGGGTCCCTGCTCATAGTGTGAAAATTGGCTTGTCATAGATGGCTGGATGGAGAAACTTTATTTAGAGCACCAAGAGACGCGACCAGCACGCAGTGGGCTTCACCCACGTAGATAGCAGCAATAAAAAATCTGATATTTTTCAAAAGCGAACGTTTTGAATGTACACGGTGACTGGCACTTTGACAAATACCTGCATGGCATGGATTTAAACTTATTCGATTTCCATCGTGGCATGTGCAATGCAGTTTTAAATGAGGTACAGCATTTGCGGCAGCATGGTTTTGAGGTGCTGTGCGCGACGTCATGAATAAGTTTCTCACTCATTGTGCAGAAGTCTGATCGAAGATGAATGAAAAAAAAAAAAAGATACACTTCTTGCGGTGTGTTACACTGCGGTTAACATATCCTAGTGAATATGAAAGTGAAATTCTGCTGCTGCGTTTCTCAATAACCCGCTGAAAATTTGTGATGTAAAACCCGACAACTTAATAATATATGTGTCGCTACGATTGTGTCGCTACGATGACTGGGCGACATGGCCTGGCTCATACCCCATGTTTATTCCATGCTCACTTCTTCCTCCTCTACTTCTCCTAACCATCGCTTCATACGTCACATATACAGTATTATCTGGCACAGTTACCTTCCTGCATTTGACACCTATGACGTGTTTTCGTACATATATTGCTCCTTTAGGCCTGATACACAAACTTCTAATGCTCATTGTCACTTTATAAGGATCGTGCCGTAAAAGTACAAAGACAAGAAACAAAAATCACTGTTTTTATTAACACATATCAGGTATCTGATAATACGAGTTATAGCTGTGGTGAAGCGTATATGCAGAATCAACAATGCTACAAAGTGCTTATAGCTCATGCATAGTCATATATATCACCCGGAGATTATGCACTTTTATTTTTCTGCATGCCACACATATGCTGAGATGTACGCACTCGCAGATGATCGCGTCAAATGTATTTTTACCTTGACTAAAATGTCAGATCGTAAAGTTCCGTCGACAACCGGTTACTGCAACCGGCCCACAACAAATACCAATGTTTTCGCAAACAGGGCGCATCGCGTTATTCACATTGTACACACCACGCTCAATATTTCCAGTTTCACCGTCCGTAAAGGTGAACCAATATTGTCGATGCCTTTCAACGCACACTACACGTCACAGTCAACACTGCACATTTTCGAAGACGATGCCGCTGTTCCTCGCACAGGGCACCACGTGTGTTCGCTTCTCCGAGATAAACAGCCAGCCAGCGTGGCAAATATTTCATCACACACTTTACCACACACCTAGAGGTTCTCTGACACATACCACAGCTAATGTTGCCAATGTGAGATAAAGATTAAGCTTTCAAAAAGAAAAAAAAAAACTTGCACCGGTTACTGCCCCACTCAGATACCTGCGGGAGTGTCAGGTCAACCGCCGCCTCGCATGTGCTGTGCACTTGTGACGTCACACTGTGACGTACCCCGGTAGAGGTCTATTTCTTGGAGTAAGCAGAAAAAAGAACAAATTCTTTGCTATCCTGCATCACAATTTTCATAGGAAATCTTCCATTCGGACGGGAGTTTTTGCATTGTAAGCTATATTATTGAAACTTTCTGCAGCTCACTTAACTGTCTCTTGTAGCAAAAACATTCACTTTATACCTTAGTGAATTTGCATTGGGAAAATGAGCAGTAATCTCTACTGTATCGCGAAGGAGTTGACAGGCGCAGAAAAAAGCTCTCTTTGGTCGGCGGAGCAAGCGAGTCTTTATTGTGACGTCACGTCGATGCAACTATCGCGCCGCCAGTGTTTGTTCTCAAGGCTAATAACTAAGATGCTTATTAAGGCTGAGGATATCAAGGAAAAACTTCTGAAAACATGGTGTGTTTTAATGTGGTTGTTGGCCTTGGTGCAATAAAAATGGGTTCCTTAGTGTTATAATGTACAGGGGTGGAAGTGTTGCGCCAATCTGGCCTGCTGTGCCAGGCTGCGCATAAACGGTAACTTTTATGATAATTGTCAATGGGAAATGTAAACCCCCAAATCTAGCTGATTATTATCGTCGACTGAGCAACACTGCATGTTGGCTACACCAACGACTGAAGTAGAGTGTACTAGAAGTGTTGAGTGGCGAGACCGTGCCTTGCGGCCTGATCCCTTCCGCGTTGCCCGTAGCGGCGGCGCTGCACTCGAATAGTACTGAAAAAGCCGCGTGCAGGAACTGCTATGCGTTTCGGTCCCTCCGCCGTGTTTTCTTAATTCAGATTTTTTCGTACCTGCCCATCATTCATGTCTAGCAAATATGCCATAGTCCTTGAAGTATGACGGGCCAATCAACTGAACTTGAGCTCCATAAGAGCCCTTGTAGAGATCGAAAATAATTCAGAAAGAGGGTGTCTTATAATGATTTCTTCTGTCATAACTCTTTCTTCGTTGCTTAGGTATCTACAATATACAGAATAACTAAGCCGATATATTGGAAGTTAGCTGCGCTCAGAAAGCTGTGAGATTAAAAAAAATACCATTTCAAACGCACGCAGAACCAGGAGGCAGTTAGTAGACAGGGGAGAAGGAGGGAACCTGAACCCTCTACACCATGAAATTTTCTCATAATTTAACTTTTTAGGTTACATTAAAATATTTACGCGCATTCAAAGCGACCATCAATTGCAAAAGTTAGTGGTTCTGCTGCTTGATTGTTTAACATAGTCGGGCAAGAAATGCACCGCCTAAAAATTGCAGCTGTGCTAAGGGGCATTGCATGGATATTGTTAATGGGGCGGTGACGCGTGACTTAAATGCATGTACTTGTGGATATATACACACACGCACACTATTCTCTAAGTTTATAACGTTTATTACGGTAGCCGGAAGAAACTTTGATCATCTATTTCATATGTATGTGTGTGTGTGTGTGTGTATATATATATATATATATATATATATATATATATATATATATATATATATATTGTGTGTGTGTTTAGTGGGTACATATAGAAATTGAGTTTCTCAAAACAAGATGCACCACTACCTGTCTACACTTTGACACTTGACAATAGAACTATGCTTATAATGCAAATCATCATCATAAAGTTGCTGGCTTGCAATAGCATTACGCCAATAGATTATTTGGAAAGCAGCCCAATTTAAGCTGTCGATACAAAATGAGAACTGGTTACAATGAATTTATGCAGATTAGCAGACAGGCTATATATAAAATTGGCACTTTTTAATATGCTTGTGTGTTTTTTAATATGTTCAATGTTTGATATGTTTAATATGTTTTTTAATATATTCAAGCCTTTCAGAAAGTAATAATTATCTTCTGTAAAACTGGCATGATAAATTTGAGTCGTCACCGATATAAATGTCGTAACAGCGTTACTTATACTCGGGTTTCTCGTGAAACGATCGAGCTCATGTAGGCTCATATAAGGAACACTGTGCGCTGCATATCGTAGAGTGTGGCGACAAAACGAGCGTATCATTTAATAACAGTATTGACACTTCTCCTCTCTTTGTAGTTCGCCAGTAGCCACTTATAATGTAACGCAGCTCAAAGCGCTGCTTGAGTGAGAAGCTAGGCGGATCCGTGCAAATTCCGATGGACTTTTTTTTTGTGTGTGTGTGTGGGTCGGCAGGCTCTTTAAACAATGAATGTATCGGCGCAATTTCAGTGTGCCTGCCTATTCACTCGTGCACCATGGTGCGTAGCAGGTGCGTCTATTGATAAAGGCTCAGAAACGCATTAAACGCACGAAAAACGAGCAACTAGACGCTTTCGCAGGCTACGGCGACCATGCTCCCAATGCAGACGCTCCGGAGATCTTCAGTACCATGTGACAACAGCACCGCCGCTACTGTCACCCGCAAGAGAATCGGCCCAGATGCGCCGCGGCCGCCTCGTTCACTCCACTGCCCCCTTCTAGTACACTGTAACTGAAGTGCTGAAGGTCACGATGCACGCTTGACATACCTTCATCCCCCTGCGCCATCCCTCCCTGTTCAAAAGAACGGGAACTTGGTCATGTTGGAACTATTCCATATTGGCACCTATAGTGCACAGGAATGCAGTGTAAACTTCCGAAATATGATTTATTTACACAGCAGTACAAGTAAAAATATAGGAAACGGGAAGCTCTGCTCGCAGGCGCTTAAGTACGAGATTATATTTTCAAAGCATGATGACACATCTGAAAGATATGCAGCCAACAATAACACAAAAGGACAAAACAAATGTTTGCCGGATTACCAGACCATGCTTAACTTCCAGCGCGTTTGTAGCGATGAAAGGAGAAAGTAATAACAGTGCGACGAATCGACGTAACTCTGCTCGTACCTGACGGATTCTAATCGTTTTCGTGGTAGTTGATTTGTGAGGCAATAAACTCCCTTTAGTGAAGCCATTTGATGGGTACTTGGTAAAGTGCTGCAGGGCCCCTTTAATGGAACTGGCTCAATAGTTTGATTCAAGCAGATGCAACATGTAGGTTTTTTTTTTTTTTTTTTTAAATTCAGAACTGCGTTTTTGAGTTCACGTTACAATCTAGAATTGCCCCATTTTAATTACAGTGTTTTGAAAGGACCAACAACCATTTTCATGGTGCCCATTATTCTTAGCGCGAAGGAAATCTTGCCCGTCTGTAAAGTGGAAATCACAGCAAAATGTTTGTAATTAGAGTTCTTCTATCTGCAGGGAATATGAAGGCGTATGCTCACATGCTGCAAACAGTGACTGTGCGGGCGGTTCGTGTTGGAAGCACGATTGTTTATTGCGCATGTGTTCATTCTGCGAGCATGGGCTACGGCTTGACTTGGTCCACTGGCGGCCGTGACATAGCACCACTTTTCACCATGCTACCCCTTTAATGTCGTAAGCAGCACAGAATTGAGTGGGGCTGTATAATAATATATGTACTCTAATATTAAAGACTGGCGCACCCGACAGCATCAGCCTATGACTACGTTCAGCAAAGTTATCAACTCCATATTCTATGATCCAGCTTTAAGGCTCTTCCATTAGGCTGCACTACAAGACGGTTAAGCATGATTCAAAAATATAAACCCTAGTCATAACGGGATAGAATGCTCGAATATGTCAGTATATTTCATGCTCTTTTCATGTATACTATGATCTAATCGCACGTTCTGGCCACTTGTCGATCCCTTTAAAGTAGAACACCTGCAAGCACATTTTGTTTCTTTGAAATTAAGCCGAGTTTTGGTTCCTGGCTTTAGCTCTTTTAGGAGGGAAAAAAATGCCAAATGGACTTACCTTAATTTCATTCTCGTTAGTGAGTCCGACTCAGGCTGGGTAAAATTTTAATGAATATGACTTTCAATTAGCCTGGCCGAATAGAAATATGGTCGATTTGAGCCTAAGTGGGCTTACTAGGGTATAATTCTGGTGAGTTTTATTAGGCTCAGCAAAAATTTCAGAAAGTTGTGTGAAAACCCTCTCGAAAAAAATTCGAGTGAGTGAGCCCTTAGTAGAAAGTATATTTTGTGAGTGCAGAACTTGAGTGATGAAGCCCTAAGCAGAAAATATATTTTGTGAGTGAGTTCCATTTATTTTTCTGACTTATGTTGGCAATGGCTTGAAAAGTGAATTGTGATATTACTCAGATGTGCCGGGTTGTGCTGCTACGAGGGTCAAGGTGGCCTGTGTTCTGTACGTCTCAGCGAACCACTGCTGAAGTTGCGGCCGAGGAAGGACCTTGTGGAAACCCTGCTGGTGAATATCTCTAGCTGCTAATTGTTTTTTTCTGAAACTGAGCATGCTTGCTTTGAAAAATTTCCTTTATGTTTTTTTTATAAAGGTAGCTGTGTGTCCAGAATGGATTCCTATTTGTTTAAGGAGCCCTCTGACACTTTTTTGAAGCGCCTATGTCACTGCTGACTTCATCAACGTGTAGTAGTGTTCGCTAGGACTATTGCGGGCAGAAGTGATGGAAAAGAGCGCCAGCCTATCATTGGATAAATGTAATTTTAGAAGTTATCGCAGCATTTCATTGAGAAGAGATTACTTTGAGTTTAAAGAAAGCGGCTCCCTTCTCTTTGTGCTCGTGAATGGTTGGGCAAACAGTGCACCATATGCCACTGCGCTGCAGAAAACATGCTTGGGCACTCCACACTTCGTTGTTTTCAAAGTGAAGGGGAAAGGACTGTAAAGCACTGAAACAGACGCTGTCGCAACAAGAACGATTGCTAAATCTACAAAACATGATCGTGAGCTGTCTCACTTTGTGTGTGTGGCTTACTCCTAGGCACCATATTGTTTGTTGCTGTCACAACGCTGGTGTGTTGGATAGAACACGTAAAATGGTGTGCAAGCTTCTTCTGTGTAGGAGCTCTCACCTCAGTCCATTGGCAGTACTTAGTAATGCCAGTGGAGAGTGAAATGTGGTCAAGCGACCCCGTAAGGATTGAGCCATGAGGGGAGGTGTACTTTTTATTGTATATTGAATTTTCTAGGCTGAATAACCGACTGCCTGACCCTGTTGCTTGCTGCCGTTCTTTTTTCACTACTCTGTTAACCCTTCTATGCAACCCGGTAGTAAAAAATGTAAAACATGGAAGTCTTGAACAGTGTTGGGGGCCCCTTTAAGGACGACACTACAAGGTCTGTTAGACAAGTATCCGACCTTTGGTGGAAGAAAAAAAAACTGGCGTAATTGGGGCATTAGAAGCCTAATCCCCCTCAAAGTAGTCCCCTTGAGACTCCACACACTTCTCCCAGTAGTGCTGCCATTGTTGGAATCATTCTGAGAAGGTCTCTATTGCAATGGACTTTAGCTCAGGTGTTGTTGCAGCCATAAAGTCCGCTCTTGTCCGAACTCGCTCTTCTTTAAAGGGGCAGACTCATCTTAGACATTTTTTCGTTTATTTCTTCAGTGATCTCGGTCATACTGCACATGCTTATGCAGTTTTTTTCTGCTGATTTCAAATATGCAATTACTTTTCTTGTGACTCATCGTTTCCCTGAGATAACTTAAGTTCACCCCCTTATTGTTTAAGGCCACCATAGAAAAAAAAGCACTTCATTAAAAGTGATAATAATTAAAATATGGCAACATAAACTAATGACTAGAGATTAAAAGTATGCAAGAGTTATTTGTTTTTCAGGCGTTCTTAGTTATTTTACAGCAAAATGAACTTTTCATTTTCAAAAGCAGTTGGAATTGTGTTAAATTTTTATAAGTAATTAATTTAAAAGGCTTGTGCTCTATAATCTGTTCTCATACTTTCATTCTATACACATACAGGTTTCTATTGCAAAAAGAATTATTGTTGTACCTTCCCTAGCTGCAGGAATATTGAGGCCTCAAAATTGAAGTCGTAAATTTACTTTTTTGAGAAAAATGAAAAAAAAAAACTGAAAACACCCAGTTTCTTCAAGAAACACCAATAGTGGTGTACACGTTTTTCAATGCTCATATAGAGGCTCATTAATTGGTAGTAGAGCTTCGGACACAGGTGCTGGCAAATTATGAAGAAGCCTCTAAGTAGGCTCCCCACTTTTTGCACATTCTACATTGTGCTAGAACTAAGACTCTGGGCAGTCAGAATGACATTACAAAAAAAAAATTATCACTACCTTGTGGTTGAAAATTAGCTGAGCGATAGATTAATACTTACATAACCCAAATATGTCAATTTAAAAAAAGAAGTAAATTTTTTGTCACTTTTTGGTCTTTCTATGTAAGTAACAGTGGGACACAACCTCGCTATAATAAATTTTCTGCACAGACTGTCTAGGAATTTCACCCTGGATTTTGGCATTTTGGTTTGAGCATGCATCTTCTGGAGGTTCCACACAGGCGACGAAGTGCGAAGAAGCGGCGGTGCGCACGGCACACTAGGCGAGAGCGAGCGCTTGTTATTGTGCGTGAGGTGGCAGGCGGGCCTGCGCCCCACGTTGTCACCGTTCTTGCCGCCAAGGGAGCATAGGTGGATATGCCTCCCCCCCTCCAAACCGAACAAAAAAAAATACTTTTGCGTTGGCAGTGCCACACTTTTAGTTAGCATCACATGGAGCCGCACTGCATATGGAGGGCTTTTTACCAAACAGTTATCCGCAGTGTTTTTGTCCATGTCGTTCGCTCTTCATTTTCGACGCCGTGAGCGCATGCATGATTTTACTGTGCGTGCATGGTGTGACCCCCGACGACATTCAGCTTTACTTTTTTTTTTTAATGCAGACAACCGTGTCGTCACCACTGAGGGGATGCTAGATAAAACTCTCCGAGACCACGGTCACTACGTGTATCTGTGGAGGTTGACTCGTCACACGCTTCCGTCTTGCGCCGCACTGCAAGTTTGCAGTCTTGTAGCTTTGGCGATTAGCCGATTAGTTCTGGCAACAACGTGACGATGCGTTGAGTGCAACGCAATGAAGGCGATGGATGTCAGACTGCCCAGGCGGCGTTGCGAAAAACGTCGCCACCAGAGCCCCCCATTGCTGCGCCGGCCATAAATGAATGGGTAGCGCAACAAGAGCCTTTTGCAAACGAACGTGCATAGGCCCTCCTCCTTCGTTGGTCTTGAGGAGCGGTTTCTTGAAAATTTAGGGCCTGGCAAGCTTTTTCCTTCAATCTAACCTCGCTTCAGAAAAGTGGGACGCTCATAAAAACGAAATGTGGGCATAATGCAAAAGTTGTTCCAGTTATTTCGGCGTGCTGCAACTGTCAATTTAAGTGCAAGCAAGCATCGCATGACATCGAGTTCGTGGCAAGCACTCCGATGCGCGTTCTGTAGCGCTTAAATGCGTTTAACTTGGGCATGTAGAAAATGACAAAGCGTTGAAATGCATACACGAGCAATCTTAACTATCAGTGGTATGAAGCTCGCATTATGCAGCACGAATGACCCTGGCGTTTTTACCGCGTGCGATGTTTACCGCATGCATCACTTGTCTAATGTTGCACGTTGTGCACTGTGGTCAGAGGGTCTGTTAAGCTTGGTAATCAAAGTTACTATGCTTCTCCGTCAAGGCTACTGAAAACAATTGCAGGAGACCTACATTATCACGGTCTCATGCGAACGGCTCTGGAGAATGCGAGTAATTCACTTACCCAATAAGTTTGCAACGGCCTGTATCTAGCGCTCTCGCCATCCTGCTTTGCGAAATCTGCGGAAATCAGTAAAACTGAAGTCCTTTACGAACTGAAACTGAAGTCCTTTACGTTGCGTTGTGGCGATTCACAACGCAACGGTAGCGTCGACTGGGGCCTTTTTTCGAGAATGCAGGGTTGTTGCATCTGCTCTTGTTTTCGCCCATCGTACTTGGCGAGTGAACCAGCAAGCACTTCACGTTGGTTCGGTGACACGTCCGACTAGCGGAGAGCAATTAGTAGCTTTTTTTCTTAGTGTGAAATGCGCAAATACACGAAATATTTAGTTAAATCGTTGTCTCATACACTGTACTTGCACTTGGTTGTGCATGAACAAGAGAGTCGGGATTCGCACTGCTCAAAACTGCGTTGACAGGTGGCACTGGGTGTCCGTAAAACTCCAGAGTCTGACGTCTATATCAAAAAATTTATGTTATACGAAGTAAGGCTGGCGGCGAATTCTTTTGGATCCGATATCGTGGTACTCCTACTTGTCGAGATAGCACGCGCGCCAGCAGTCGCAACCGCCCTTAAAATTAAAGTTCATTGTTGCTACTCAAGCGCCCCCCCCCCCCCCCCCTTTGTGTTTTTTCATGTCGTTCAAGACGGGAGGTTTCCTTTCTGTTTGAGCATTCTACGGCAGTTCTAACATGGGGAGATGTTATCTTATGTGCCTTCCAGGCGATAGCGATGGGCCTGCTCATTTGATCCGAGCTTCAGCAGCGCTTGCACGCTTTTACCTGCTCGAGAAAGTTACGATGCGTGGGGGCATGTTATCAATTTATACTTGTTACGGAACATAGGGGCGACGGCAAAAAACCGCCGAGAGTGTCCATACCATTGCTCTCGCAATAATAACGCAGTTTTTTACCGCTAAACAAGTTTTTGGGTTAGCTCGGCCTTCAGCCACTCTTTTGTTTGATTTGTGCGTTTATTTTCTGAATTTCGGTAACAAACCTCTATATAACAAAATCCTGTTTATAGCGAGTTTTTCGGGGAATAGCAATTTTGTTATATTCAGGTTTAACTGTAGAACACAGTGGCAGATATATATTAGTAATGTGCTTTGATAAATACAGGCGGAACAACTTCGAAAAAATGACTACCAACTATTGGCTAAGCAGTTTACCCTGTTTCCACTTCAGCTGTCTGTAACCCGGAGGCGTGTTAACTCTTTCCTTACCACGGGAAAATTAGCCTATTTTTGTATGTTGCAGTTAGGAATTTTCTGTGTCGTTGCTACTAGGTTTACAGTGCCATGCAGTACATCAAAATAAAGACCAATGAACGTAATTTTGAATGCTTTTTATTTTGAAACAATAAAGAAAATTATTTTGGCGAAAAAAATTCGTATACGAAAGATCTAAAAATTTCAAACATTTTTTTGAAAATGAAGCGATATCTCCGACAAAAAATTTTTCTGAGAAATTCTGAAATATACAAAATGTTTAGTAATCACAGGGCAACATTATTTAAAAGAATTGTTAAAATTGACAAAGCTGTTTTTGAGTTACAAAAAAATTGCCTGATGCATAGCGAAAGAGTGAAGTTCTAAGTATGTCCTACGCGAGATTTTTTTTTTTTTTTTCAAGAAAAAAAACTTTACAGCAAATTATTACATACCAAAATGCAAGTACTAAATGTAGGGTTTGAAAGGTACATTTGACGAAAAAACTGGCAGATCTAAATAGGTAACAAAAATTGACAAACACAAATAATTAGGTACGTTCACAACAAACATCGTAATGATATACTTATATCTTCCGAGTAAATAAATTATGGAAAAATTATGAGAGATGCAAAATATTTACGTATTGGAGTAAGATTTAAAAAATGAAAGTTATAGCTGAAAAACTTCTCGAGCTATAATTTGTTCACTCAGGGACATCAGTGTGCCAGGCACCAAAACAGTTTCTCGCTGTGAAGCACAAATGGACATTGCAGGTGCGACAGAAAACGTTCATCTTGTGTTGAGATTTGTTCTCTTGGTAGCACTTTTTACAGTTGCGCCGTATCTCCAATCGTTCAGGCTGGTGCTGTACACCTGTAGGTGGCCGAATTGGGGTGGGAGGAATAGAAGCTGGTGCGGTGTCCTCTATCTGAAGAAGTTGTTGAACGAGTTCTGTTCTAAAAGCCAGCAGATCGAAGCGAGGCAGCCTAGAAAGTTCAGGTGTTTCTGGATTTTACCTGCGATGTGCTTCAAAAAGAATGTAGCTGTTCACAGCTGCAATATCAATGCTGTGGAAGAACAACGTCTTCCACCAGCGGACGCATTTTCTAAGAACATTGTAAGAAACAATCAGCTGGTCAGACTTGTCGACCCCTAACATGTTGGCATTATATTCGTCGATGAGTTTAGGTTTCTTGATTGTGATCTGTTCCCACTTCCCGTTTTTATTTTCCCTTCTCTTAGCGGGCACATGAGCGTTAGCGGTGTGAGCTGTGCTAACCATATGCACAACACGCTGATCCTTCCACTGAAGGTACAAAACCCCCTTATCCCGTAGCCAGCGAATGTCCCCTCTCTTGGATTTTCTTTCCCAGGTGATATTTTTCAATTCTGATGGGAACCCGCGGTGATCTTTTCTAGTAGTGCCACACGCGAGTGTCTTGCGTTCTAGCAAGTGCACAAGAAGAGATGTGGACGTATAGAAATTGTCCATGTAAATGACATAGCCACGGTCAAGGTATTTGTCGCAAAGCTTCGTCTCCACATCGAATGCCAGCCCATTTGTGCTCGGTTTTTCACGCTTCCCCGTGTACACTATTAATTTAATGGTGTAGCCGGTCTTCGGATCTACAAAAACCCACAATTTGTATCCCCATTTCACAACTTTGTCTTGAATGTACTGCCGAATTCGGGAGCGCGCTTTGGATTTAACCATTCTTTCATCAACTGAAATTTCGCAATACGGCTGTAAAAACGTTGCAGAGCAGTCATTGATGTGTTGAAGAAGCCAAGACGCCTTGTCCAGTTTTTGTGCGGTAGCGCCGTACGTTTCGGGATCCAAAACATGCAGCATGGCCAGAAGTGCGGTGAAACGCCGCCTTGACATGACTTTTGGTGGAAGCAGTCCTGAAAGCAATTTAGTCGTGCTCCAGTACAAATTTAGACGCGGAAGTTCTAATATCCCCATATACATTAGGAGTCCAATGAACTTCATCATCTCCTCCGGCGTCACCTGATCCTTCCACGATCCGTCTTTCTCACTGTTAGTTGGCTTTTCAAGTATGTGGGCCCACGCATACTTGTTGGTGTTCAGACAGATTGCGCGGATCACCTCCGCCGTGAAGAAAAGGCGAAAGAAAATCCAGCGCTCTCGTCAGCCGATGTGCGCTACTGCGGAGCGTCATGCCGAGGTTGATGCCCGGATTCTTCTGGGGTCGGAAGTCCACGCGTCTTTGTGCTGGAGGCAGCACATCGCGCCCAAATGAAGTAGAAACGCTAGAAATAATAATATGTGGGACACATACAGAGCAAGTCAGCCAGCTCCAGAACACGATAAACAAAACAGAAGGTGAAAACCAAACTTACTCGCGACTATCAGCTGACGTTCCCGGCTGATCAGATGAAATTTCTTCATCGGAGCTGAAATGGGATGTCACCACATCGTTGTCCGATTCCTCACTGCTTGAGAAATCCAAAAGATAGCTCGTCGAGGCGTCGGCATCGAGTGAAATCGCTTTTTTCCGAGCGCGCGTGGTTTCTGATGTTCGCCATCGCGCGGATCACGTGCGCTTCAACCTTTGAACGGCCGCGCCCTTTAAAAATCACCGCCACGCGGTAAAAATGCGAACCTTACAGAAACAGCAATTTTAGTGGGTGTGCAATCGCCTAGATGGCGCTACAAGTCCATACGCACGGTGTTTGTTGAAAAATAGGGGCGTGAAATCGTCGTTCACCAGTGAACGATGCCTAGTGGCGTGGTAAGGAAAGAGTTAACCACCTATAATTTAAGCAGCATAAAGTTTACATTGAAACGCATTTTCTTGATTTTGATCCTGATGAGTTCAAAGAAGGTAGCCAAGAATGAATGTGGTGGTTTGCTTAATGATTTCTCTGAAATCAGTGGGCTCGAAGCCCTTTTGTGCGAACATTGATGTGAAAAATTCGTGTCATGTGGCATTAAAAGGGGAGGGGGGAAACATCAGTGCCTGGAAAGAAATTCCACATACTTGCCCATTCCAAGCAAGTTGAGTTGGATGCGCGTTTTAAACATACTGGCAGTAGCATACAGGGTCATCTTAGATCCTCAGAGGGTCGGATGATAATGTTGATTATATCATTCTGACATTAAAAAATTAGCAGGATTTTGTAAGGGGGGACGCAGCACTGTGAAAAAAATTTTAATTTCTCGATCAGTTTTGATGAAACATGGTGAGTTGATGTATACTTATGTGCACTGCACATTTCATATATGCGATTCTGTTGTACAAAGTGCAGTTTTTAAAATACAAAACATTTCACGTGCCCTTTAGAGAGCAACATTATTGAGAACTGACAGACAACAATGCCAGAGAAAGTAGATGGGATGTTATTATAAGTAATTGTTATACAAATGAGAAGAAACAAAGTGGATGAAAAGATAACTTCACACCGGCAGGATCCGAACCTGCTGCCCTAGAATAAAGCGTTCAATGCTCTGCCACTAAGCTACGGTGGCGATTATCCCCCCATCCACTTTATAGGGTATATATGTACATTTAAACGTGGGAGCGTCAGTCAGCGCCACCTGTTGCAATGCATTGCCCCGTCGCGGTGGTCTAGTGGCTAAGGTACTCGGCTGCGGGGGCTGCATTTCCGATGCAGGCGGAAATGTAGGCCCGTGTGCTCAGATTTGGGTGCACGTTAAAGAACGCCAGGCGGTCGAAATTTCCGGAGCCCTCCACTATAGTGTCTCTCATAATCATATGGTGGTTTTGGGACATTAAACCCCACATATCTATCAATATCACCTGTTACAATGACGGAGAGTGTGGAACACTCTTCTTGCCTGTTTGGTGTCAGTAGTACGTGATCTTATTGCGAGATGGCAGTTGACCTCGCATACTACCTCAAGTCTGCCAGAACGAGACCCTCGTTATGAACTAAGGAAAGTGTTAATTTAAGGGCGTTTTTTTTTTGTTAGACACAACATTATTGTAACAGACAATAATGTCAAAGAAAGTATAGCAAATGTTGTTATAAGTAATTGTAATGTAAATGAGAAAAACAAAGTGAATGAAAACATAACTTGCCGCCGGCAGGATGAGAACTTGCGATCTTCAAATAACGCAAAGCATCGGTAGAGCATCGAACGCACTATTCGAAGGTCGCAGGTTCGTGTCCTGTTGGTGCCAAGTTATCTATTCACCCACTTTTTTCTTCTCATTTACATTACAATTACTTATGATAACATCCCCTATACTTTTTCTGGTATTATTGTCTGTTAGTTCTCAGTAATGTTGTGTCTAACAAAGAAAACGAGCCTTCAATTATTTATACTTTCCTTCATTTTTATGAAGAAAGCTTTGTTCTCAACTATGTGGATTACAAAGTAAATCAGCGTGTTCACAATAATCTTGAATCAGAGCTGATTGCAGTTCACTAAAATGGATTTTCTAAACCCATTAGAAGAAAAGTTATGGCATGTTGAACATTTGGCTGTGAAACTCGAGCTTGAAATTGATTCACTTAAAAAAAAGGGAGAGAAAGAAGGAGACAGACAGCGGCAGTGCCGCTGTTTGTCTCCTTTTTTCTCTTGTCCCTCGTTATTGGCGCTGTTTTTTTTAAGTGAATCATGTCATACCAACTCGCCCAAGCAACCACGTTAGCTACTTGAAATTGACTCATTCACAAATTTTCAATGTATCATATCTTTTGTTCAAATAGATTTAAAACATCCATTCTTGTTGCACTGCAATCAGTTTTGATTCCTGATTATTGTGATATCCTAATTTACTTTGGGACGCAGCACTGTGAAAAAAATTTTAATTTCTCGATCAGTTTTGATGAAACATGGTGAGTTGATGTATACTTATATGCTCAGTTAAAAAAATCTTGCTCTCTAAATGGCATATGAAATATTTTGTATTTTAGAAACTCCACTTTCTACAAGAAAAATGATTATATATCTGAAATCAGCCCACAAATATACATAAACTCGCCTAATTTTTTTTAAAAATTGTTTGTGAAATAAAAAAAAATTAAGAGCAGCATCTCCCTTCAAATACAACCCACCGCTAATTGTCAAGAAAAATGTTTCAAAAAGTTTGCAGATTGTTTCCATATTTTGAATGCAATGAATTAGCTTGTAGCAAAAAGTACAATCAATTGGCTGGCTTTAATAACATAATTTATCAGTCTGTAACACCGGAGAACTTCTTTATAAGTGTTTTTCTACATTCTAAGGAATGCAATTTAGAAATGGCCCTCCAAATAGAACAGTGCCTGTTTATCTTATTTGATATGCTATATACATTGGTGTCTATTTTTTTTCTGTTCTAGCATGAGATGATACATGCCTACCTTTTTGTGACTGCCAACAATAAGGTCTGTTTTCTTTTTTTGCATTACTTTGTGCATGGATTATGTGCATTGATACTGTGCTTAGTGTTGATTCAAACAGTGCGATAGACTACATAAAGAAGAGATTGTATGTGACAAGTTCTGACTAACAGCTCAACATTTTATTTGCATAGACAAATAAAAAGAATGCATGTCCAACCTACAGATTACAAAGTTATAAGGCATCTACCACGTATTTTTTCATAAATGCAAATTCAATGCTCAGCCCTATCGATTTCGTATTTGTGCACATGTTGTTTTGCAGATAGAAAATGCTTCTGCGATCTTTTGTGAGAGAATCATTTTGTGCAATCGCGGTGCTCATTCAACAACAACAAAAAAAAAAATTCAAGGGTGCCACTGCACGCTGCATGTGGAATAATAGGCAAACAATTGCTAATAGGCAGACAATTGCTGCAGACAATTGTTTTTGCATGGAACAAACTGATTATTCCTTGCACGCTCTACTCATCGAAATTCCCACACCTCCCAAGTTGTCAGTTCTTGCACAGACATTGTTTATCTTAAGCTTAGCATATATATATAATGTGTGTGTGTGTGTGTGTGTGTGTGTGTGTGTGTGTGTGTGTGTGTGTGACGCTATGATGAATGGGTGACGTGGCCTGGCTCATACGCCATGTTTTTTTTCTAAAGCACTTCTTCCTCATCTACCTCTACCAACTCCTAAGCATCACTACCTTCTTACGTTACAGGATTCCCCCTCCCCCCAAAATAATGCGCGCGTTGCATATTACAATGCCTGATGAACAAGCAGTCTTAGAACACACACAAAAAAAATGTTCAAATGGGCTGTAGTTCCACGTCAGATTGAAGTTCCGTAATGTCGCACAAAGACTTCACAGGAGAGGGCAGCAATCCGGGGTTAGTACAGCTCTGGTGGGCGAGGCTGACTGTTGCGTTCTGGAAAACACAAGTACACCTTGGGCGTAGAAACTGATGAAATAGTTGCCATTGTTGCGAGGAGTGGGCGCTGTTTGAAAGCGTTGCAGTAGATCATTCTTCGGCGGCGTCCTTGCTGCGTGCGTGCTCGTTGTCGTAAGCTAATGGGATGGTGTCTGAATCCTTGCGTGGTGGGACTATTGACTTCTTGTCTTGTTCGGTGTTTCCTGAGGTTTCGAAGATGTAATCTTAGGCGCAGTATTGATGTTTTGTGCCAAATTCGTTTCTGGCGCCGATCCCTTATGCGAAGATGCCTCGCTTCTTGAATTTGTTTTAAGAGGCTTGCTTTGCGTCGTCGTCCTTGTTGGTGTGTCCGTTGTAGTTCTTGGAGTTTGTGGAGTTGCCTTTGTTGAAATTGCTCATCTTGTTGCGAAAGTTGGTCAGATGGGTATCTTTCAGGAACATTTGTCTGCTTTTCTTTGCATGGTGATGTGATCAGTAGATAGCTGGTAGTCGATACTGTACTGCTGGGCTTGTCTTGTTATGAAAGCATCGTGACAGACTGATGAGAAATCTCCCAAGATGGTTGTGAGTCATCATTGATTGTAAATGCTTCTGTCAGTTGACAATGCGCCGGCGTTGGCGGATTCGAAATTCCTGCAGTGCTCTGACTCACATGTGTGTTATCACTTGACGATGAGAGCACAACAGACACGGCTTCGGGTGGTTCTGATGGCATATGTTTTTCTTTTTGCAGCGTGATTAGGCTGAAAATGTCTGTCGAATGACCCTGGTCCAGAACGTCAGGGTATGGGCTGGTATTGTGAGGATTCACCAGCTTGTCACGCGTACATTCCGTCGCACATTCGAAACCGTCTGGGCCTTGTGTGTGACACGAAGCATCAAGGGATTCGGGTGGTTCACTAAAATGTGAAGTGTTGTGGTGCAGAGAACACGTTGAAAATGCCGATTTCATTGCTCTTGGGAAAGCCGGCTTTAGGTTTAGATTTTTGGCGAAATGGTCTAGATTCCTTTCGGTATGCGGAGGATTTACCTTGTCTGTTGCGATGTGCAAGTTACCAGTCCGTGTCCGAATGCATAACGGTTTTTCGGAAGAGTCATATGATGTTGCAATGGTGGTATATTTTCTCTGAGGTCTCGTTTGGAAAATAGGCTGGCTGCGAGAAGACTTCGCGTAACAGTGATGGGTGAGTTGAAAAGCCTTCCACTGATGGGGTATGCACAGATCTTCATCGTATTTGAACCAAACGATCATTTCTTGTTCGATATTGTCACGTTAAAGAGACAGGAGACGTTTTTAAGGCGTCCTCACAAAAGTCCGAAGAGCGGTCGGCTCAGCACAGCCAAAAACAGAACAATGGCACGAGGGGAACTGCCACTTCGTCTGCCTCTTTTGCGCTGGCAGATCAAGCGCGCGGCACTGCCCCTCCTCCCTGAAGAGCATCGCCTCGATGCTAAACGAAGCGTGTATCGTAAAAAAAAACATTGTCACAGTGTGTGGTACGGTTTTAACCGCACCACGTGCACAATCTCGGGTCGTAGCTGTCGGCGTCGGGGTGGGTTGGCTTCCGTCCGGAAGGACTTCGTAATTGACGTCGCTCACTTGTCGTAGCACTTTGTACGGGCCAAAATACCGACTGAGAAGCTTCTCAGAGAGACCTTTGCAGCGCACAGGGGTCCAAACCAACACCTGGTCACCTGGTTTATAATCGACTTGTCTGTGGCAGCGGTTGTAGCGCTGTGCATCGACGCCTTGTTGTTTCTTGATGTTTACGCGGGCTAGTTGACGTGCTTCCTCGGCTCGTTGCACGAAACACTCAGCATCTTCGTCGAGATTCTCGATGTTGTCAATGTCGCATGGGAGCATTGCGTCCAACATCGTCTGAACGTCCCGACCGTATAGAAGACGAAACGGAGTGAATCGTGTGGTCTCTTGCGTAGCGGTATTATACGCGAATGTTACGTAAGGCAGTATTTCATCCCACGTCTTGTGCTGTACGTCTATGTACATAGACAGCATATCAGTCATCGTTTTGTTAAGCCGCTCGGTCAGTCCATTTGTCTGAGGGTGATACGCTGTTGTCTTGCGATGCGTGGAGTAACTTAACTGAAAAACTTGTTCAAGGAGCCTTGCTGTAAACGCTGTTCCTCGGTCTGTGATGACACAGGATGGAGCACCGTGGCGTAATACAATTCTCTCGATGAAAAACTGAGCAACTTCACAAGCCGTGCTTTTAGGAAGCGCCTTAGTTTCAGCATAGCGGGTTAGATAATCTGTAGCGACGATTATCCACTTGTTGCCGGAAGATGACAAGGGAAACGGACCCAGGAGGTCCATGCCGACTTGATCGAAGGGTGTTCTGGGTGGCTCGATAGGGTGAAGTAATCCCGCAGGCTTAACAGATGGGGATTTTCGGCGCTGGCATTCGCGGCAGGCTTGAACGTACTGTTTAACGCAAGCGGCAAGTTTCGGCCAGTAGTAAGACTTTCGTACCCTAGCGATGGTTCGGGTGATGCCCAGATGGCCCGATGGAGGTTCGTTGTGGCAGGCAAATAGAATTTCCTCACGCAGCTCTGCGGGGACGACCAACAGGTAAGTTTTGTTGCTGGCGGCTGCGTTCTTCTTGTACAACACGCCTTGTCGTAAGCAGAAGGATGACAATCCGCGAGTTATATGCTGGGGCAGTGATACGTTGCGGCCCTCTAGATGTTCAATGATAGGTCGCAATTGAGCATCTGCTCGCTGCCGTAAAGCCAAGTCTGTTACGCTTACGGAGCCAAGGAAAGGGCAGTCCTCTTCGAAGCTCTGAGCGGCAGGCTCAACTGGCGCGCGTGACAACGTGTCCGCATCTTCGTGTGCACGACCGGACTTGTACACGATAGTGACGTCGTACTCCTGCAGACGTAGGCTCCACCTTGCCAGTCGTCCGGAGGGGTCTCTGAGGTTCGCAAGCCAGCACAGCGAGTGATGATCCGTCACTACTCTGAATGGACGGCCGTAAAGGTAAGGTCGAAACTTAGCAATTGCCCACACGACAGCAAGGCACTCCTTCTCCGTGGTACTGTAGTTTGACTCCGGGCGTGTTAGGGTTCGGCTTGCGTAGGCGATAACCTTTTCAATTCCCTCCTGCCGTTGGACGAGTACCGGCGCCCAGACCGACGTTACTGGCGTCGGTATGAATTTCTGTTTCGGCTTCCTCGTCGAAATGTCCAAGAACAGGTGGTGATGCCAGGCGAAGCCGAAGCTCTGTGAATGCTGATTCTTGTTCAGCACTCCAAACGAACGGCGTATCGTCTCTAGTGAGTCTAGTTAATGGTTCGGCAATTTTCGAAAAATTGCCTATAAAGCGCCGGTAGTACGCGCATAGACCAAGAAACCGCCGCACACTTTTCTTATCGGCAGGAGTCGGGAAGGCTGCGACAGCGGCGGTTTTCTCAGGGTCAGGACGGACGCCTTCTGCGCTTACGACATGTCCAAGGAACTTTAGTTCTTCGTAACCGAAATGGCATTTTTGCGGCTTTAACGTAAGGTTAGCCGTCCGAATCGCCTCAAGTACTTGTCGTAGTCGCTTCAGATGTTCGGAGAAGCTGGTTGAAAACACGACCACATCATCCAAGTACACAAGGCAGCTTTGCCATTTTAAGTCAGTCAACACAGTGTCCATCATGCGTTGGAAGGTAGCTGGCGCAGAGCAGAGTCCGAACGGTAGCACCCGAAATTCGTAGAGGCCATCCGGCGTGACAAAGGCGGTTTTTTCGCGGTCGCGCTCATCAACCTCAATTTGCCAGTAGCCACTCTTTAAATCCAGGGAAGAAAAATACTTCGCTCGTCGTAGTCGGTCAAGCGAGTCATCAATACGCGGCAGCGGATAAACATCTTTTTTTGTGACGTTGTTGAGCTTTTTGTAATCTACACAGAAGCGAAGCGTACCGTCCTTCTTCTTAACCAGAACGACCGGTGAGGACCAGGGACTGTTCGAAGGCTGGATAACGCCGTCGTCGATCATTTCTTTCACTTGCTGCTTGATAGCTGCGCGTTCTGTCGGCGAGACGCGGTATGGCTG